CGCCATGTGGTGTCCTCCGGGGCAGGCAGGAATCGAACTCATGCGGAAGCGGCTTTAGATTCTCAGTGCTGTGCTTTAACCCGCTGCGCCACCAGGGAGGGCCCTAACTTGGAATTTTTAACCTACACTCTCAACTTTAGTGGCATCAAATTCTACCTGTGGATATAACCATAGAAACTAAAGGCTCATTGACATTCCTGACATCCTATCAGGTATCAAATGATAAGAGGGTTACATGCTACTCATGACTACAGCAGAAAAGGACATTTTCTAAATGTAGGACTTACTACTATAGTATAATAAAAGTCTGAGACCTTGAGTTTAGAGTAATTAGTACTTTTTTTTCAGATAGGCTTACATGTACCATTGTCTTCATGGTTCATATTCTTGAGCCCAACAGCAAGTCAATTAAAGCATCAGCTTAGGAGGGGTCACAAGCTCAAGGGACTCTAGGATTGATGAAGTAACATGAAGGAGCAAAGCAGCCAAGAAGTGGTGAAATAACCATCAGCTGCTCCTCCATTTTCATTACGTGAAAATTTATACCATCTTGGAATAAAAAGGGTCAAAGCCAAGGGTAGCAAGAAAACCTCTGTTCAACACATAAGTCTTAAACTAACAGTTCAAAATGTGACAACAGAATTCTCTTGGTCTGATTTAACCAAAGGATTTATTTGCTGATCCCTAAAAAGCAGAATTCAGAAAATAGCACACCCCCTTTTCATTTTCTGCCCCCCGCCTCCCCCCCAAAAGAACAGTTCTATAACACATTTTCAGTCATCTCGCTTCCCAAGGCATGGCCCTTCCACGTGTCCGTCCTGATCGAGCAGACAGGTGTGGGCCAGCGGCACCACTCACACCTCCTGTACACCTCTCTGCAGGCATGGGGGCTTTTTCTCTTTTGATAGAAAATTGTTGAAAAAAATTTTTATAGCAAAATATCTCAAGATCCTCCCCCTTGCTCATCCCGCTTCAGTCACCTATTGGAAAAGTACAGAATCGAAAAATTCCTCCCCCACCATTGTAATTAAAATACTGAAATCTGAAGATATCCAGGTTATTCTAAGTTCTTGGGTTAATACTTAAGATATCCGCAGAGAAAGTTGAACCTCAATTTCTGCTGCTCACAAAAAATGGGGAACAGAAGAGAGGATTTGATTAGAACAGTTAAAAACTGATAGTCATTCTGTGATGGAGCAAAGCAGGCTTTTCAACCATCAATGAATAATAACCATGTTGCTCACAAACCTTGCAGTGATCCTGCAAGATTTGACTCTCAAATATAAAACATACTTCAGAGACAGCCAACAGAGTGCTAAGATATGTGAACAGAACAGAATGCTGGTTAAGGCACAGAGTCAAGAATTCCAAGAAATTTTGAGTGCCATTTTTCATTTAATAAGCCTAAAGCAATCTAAAGGCTGTGGGTGTGATCACATCAGGATGTTTTTATGGAATAATCACAGGCCAACATGACTGGTGGCTGGCAGGCTGGCACCCTTTGGCTCACAGTATGAAGCGAGCGGCTCCAGCACCAACTTCTTGGCGAGATCTAGGGCTGGGGTGTGTAGCGGAGGTATTTCTTGCCAGACGGGAGCTCTTTGGTGAAGACTCCTTTAGGGAAAAGCTTTTTGGCCTCATCTTCAGGGATCGTTGGAAGGACCATCACACTATCTCCACTCTATAGAAAAACATTCAGAATGGTGAAATTCAATCTCAGATTGAAAAGGAAAAGATTAGTGCTATAGGTGCTAATAAGAATAATTAAGAATAATCAGGTATTCTTTACTCTCTCCCCTCTAAGGAATTTTGTCTTTCCTGCTTTTGTGAGGGTAAGTAAACTCCGCAGTCAGGAAACTGTACAAGGAGTTTTATATAAAAGGTACCAAAGGCCTTGAAAATGATCTCTCAGCAAAGTCCCTCTAGTGTGTTTGCAGGCTAGAAACAGCTGTAGGCAACACAGACCCTGAAGGCAGCCATGCAGAGACTGGCCGGCAAGTGATTCATCTGCCCTTTAACATCTTTACCTTCCAATCAACAGGGGTGGCAACCCTCTTTTCTGCTGTCAGCTGGAGAGAGATAACAACTCTGAGAAGCTCATCAAAGTTCCTGCCAGTGGTAGCTGGGTAGAGGATTGACAGCTTCAGCTTCTTATCAGGACCAAAAATAAACACCTGCAGAGCAAACAGTCAGAAAAAAGACTTCTTTTTTAAACACTATTGTTATTAAAGTCTTTTAGAAAGCTATTGACACACTGAAAATGTTCCAGGGCATCCCAATAAGAAAAAAAAAAAAAAAAAAAAACGCACCACCACCACCACCCTGTCCCCCAAATACCTAAGGTTTGTCTAATTGCATTTTGGGAGCGAGGAATAGAATTTTCTTCTTCATGTTAGCTTTCTGAACTTAGAATTGTATTTGGTTCTGTCTACCCCAGTAAGAAAGGCCAATGTGCAATTTTAATCCAGGAAAGGCCTCAAGAAGGGATGATTATCATAAAATGATACTAATGGGAGTTGGTATTGGTATGCTCAAATAGTTGTATATTTTTTGCAGATGAGGGACTAAGTTTGCTTTCTATTGGGTACAGAGCAAACTTAAGAGGACAGAATAAATAAGGACTGAAAAGCAGAGCTGCCTTATGAAGGAGGATATGACCACTGCTTAGAACTAGAGAAAAGGTTTTTCAATTCTCTTTGAGATTTAGAATAACTAAATATTTCTACGTAGATTTTGTGCTAAGGATTAAACAGCTTGGAAATTTAGCTGAAAATTTTACTCTGCATCATCTTTCCAGAGAATCAGTGAGATGAACACAAATGTAGTTACTATGTAAGTGGAATTGTTCCCCTATTTCTTCCCTATGATTGGTGCAAACAGTAACCTGGAAGTCCAGCCTGGCCAGTCAAGACGTCTACATGGCAGATTCCTACCACTTACCACGCGAGCTGTCACAGGCATGCCCTTTTCATCTTTTTCTGAAGGGTCCAGCATGCCCAACAGAATGGCAAGTTCCCGATTCTTATCATCAATGATGGGAAAAGGTAACTTTTCTGTGGGCTCATCACAATTATAAGCGTTAATATCCTGAAATGCAAGGCAGGGGGGAAGATAAGTCAAAGCGGTGCTCATCCTCTCAGGACGATCGGTTAAAAGTCACCATCTTGCAAGACAGGAAACAGGACTATAATCATCATCATGTTCTTTAAGCAATTTCAGTAAGAAAAGTAATGAACACTCCCCGTCTCATTTATTCATTGACAAGAATAACAGTAAGTATGACACGTAGCTTGTAACTGCACATCTTTTTCATACCTAAGTCTCTTAATGTTTAGCATGCTTCTACTGCTCTGAGAAGCAGCAAGAACTCTTTAAAAGATGAATAAGAAGGTCCCAATCCAAGGTACCTCTGGGTACTCGAATACTGTAAAACCCACCAGAAATAATGAGTTAAGTTCATCACATCTAGCAATAACGCCACATGCTGAGGAATGTTAACAGAGTTTGTTCCTCTGTCAGAGGTCAATCTACTGTAAAGCAGATATCAGGGAATGCAAAAATAAAAATCACCTAACTTAAAGCAAACAAAAGAATGAAGAGCTGACTATATACTAAAAGGTTAATTCAAAGATAAATCTTGTGGGTGAAAAGGCAGAGGTAAGTTTATAGAAATCCATACAGAGGGAATTTTAAGGGTGAACTAACGGACAATGATTTACTATTTTCCTGGCTACTCCCCTTTCTCCCAGTAAAACTTCATTCATTCCTACTTTCCTGTCCCTGGAAACTTGGGGTGGAAAACATATTTTCTGTATTTGATTTAGCTTCCTTAGCTAAAGGTGGGCTATACAATATTGTAAATACATGTGGAATACAGATGAGTAAGACCCTTCAAAGGAACTTCTGATTTGGTCAGATGATTCTCATATGAGGAAGAAGCAAACACAAGACTATAATATGCAAAGGGAAGATTGCAAATGCTGAAGTACACTTAAGCTCCCATTTGTAGAACCATTAGGAAAATCTTTAAGGACATGGTATGACTTTCACCTGGGCTCTTGAAGACTGGATAAGAGGTTCACCGGCAAAGAAAGACATTCCAGTAAAGGGAAGCACTATTAATGCAACATTTAGGCAAGTCTGAGCATAAACTAGTGATAAGAGTAAGGCACTCGTAGCTGGGTGAAGCATTAGGATTTAATAGCAAAGAAGCTTAAGAATCGAACAAGGTTTATTTACTATGTGGTGCCTTGACAGTAAACTGGTTGATGACACAGCACTAATGGAACCTTTGTTGATTTATCCAGAGATGTGATAGGGTAAAAGTGACATTCATGAACTTTGAAATAGATATCTGATAGTTGGAACCTGTTTCCAAGTCAATGAATTCACAATTTAGAAAACTTCTTAGGCAGAAGCTCACCACCTAAAATAAGTCTGTATTTTAAAAGGTATTAAATAATGGACTGTACAAACAACCCTGTTAACAATCTAGCTTTAATTCTTGCTATGCAGTCTTCTCAACCCTGTCTCTTACATGACAGTGTTCATATTCACGAACACTGAACAACAATGTATTTTGGCTGTATTCTATCTTAAATCAGGTTATTCTATTCTCTATCATCTGGCATGAAAAAAGAACATTAGCTTGAGGTTCAGATCATACTACTATCCTTTTATTATCAGAGCAATGTTTAGCAAGACCCTCCAACTCTGCCTGAAAGACATTATTCTCATCTGTGAAAATGACAAGGGAAACAAACCATATACCTCTCCTAAAAGTACCTGAAATTATCAGTGAGAATCCTGCAGAAAAAAACTAGGTGCCATTCATGGCCAAATGTAAAGGAAAGAAAATAAAAAAAGCTACCTTAAGAAAAAGATTAACACCTTTTCCTTTTCTCCTGTATATGATTTTTGTAATCTCAGTCATAGGATTAATTCATATGAAATGGCCAGGGATACAGCTTCTAGGAGTCAGCTCCTAATAAGTGAGTACCAGAGTTGATCCCTAAACAATGTGAGGGTTAAGGGTGCTGATCCCCCACATGGTTGAAAATCTGAGTATAACTAACCCCCACTTCCTGTCATCTCTTCCCTCTAAATTTAATTAGTAATAGCCTGCTGGTGACTGAAAGTCTTACAGATAACATAGTCAATTGTGTGTTATAGGAATTATATACTGAATTCTTATAATACAGTAAAATAAAGAATATGTCATTAAGTAGGTAATAAAGAAAATACATTTACAGCACTGTATTTATCAATACCACAAGTTTCCACCTGAATAAGTAGGCCCATGTTATTCAAGTCTCTGTGTTCAGGGATCAACTGTATATCTTTTGATATATATATCTTTTGAAGTATATCTTTTGATATATATATATCTTTATATTTTTTGATATATATATCTTTTGAAGTGCCTGACACAGCCTGGTAAACAGTAAGCATCCTGTGAATGTTACCATACTGATTTAACAGCACACTGTAGGAATGTCCTAACATGGTCTGAAGTTTAGATCACCACATTTCAGGTACACACAAATAACTTTTGTTGAAAGTAAGACAATTCCTTCCTAGTTCATTCATTCAACAAATAGACTAACCGCTCACTGAGTACTATTCCCACAGTACCCCCCTCTGGTGTAGAAAAACACACCAACCAAGTGAGGGCTTCTTATGTGCTAAGGAGAATTGTTAACCAGCGGGGACAGGGAGTGTGGAGGAGTTATAATTTTAGATAGAGGTCAAGGAAGACCTTAATTTAACACAAAGACAGTATTGAGCTGAGACTGAAAAATACAAAGGCAAGTCACAAAGATACTTGGGCAAAGAGGGAAATGTTTCAGATGTACCAGCTGGGCTAAAACTTCACCTGAAACCAACTAAGCCACCTCCTATAATTTATCACTTGATCTGTAGTCTCAAAGAACACCCCAAAGGGTACTATACCTTACTCCAGGCAAGATGGTCTTCAACACTGTCTATTGAGAGTGCGATCAGCTTCACATTCCTCTTGGCAAATTCTGGTGCCAGCTTGACGGCCCTGCCAAGCTCTGTGGTACATACTGGAGTGAAGTCCCGGGGGTGGGAAAAGAGGATGCCCCATCTGAAAGGAAGGAAAAGAAAGTCACTGAGTGAAGAAGTCATGGAGTCACAAATCCTAGGTCACAAATCATGGAGTCACAAATCCTAAGTAAAAATGACTTAATAAAACAAATGTCTACGAAGACAATTATATTAAAGTTATCCTGTTGACTGTTTTTCAACCTTCCCCCCACAAGTCTATGTTTAAAGTTCAATTCAATCCAAGATATGAATTCCAAGATGATAAATATTTTGAGACTGTAGAATTTTAAGTGTTACCTCACTGGAGGACAATAGTTACCCCAACTACTTTCCAGCTAATGAAATCTGTGCTACTCAAATCAAGTAGTTTATTGAAATAACTTGTTTTTGTTTTTTTTTTTTTAGCCTTTTCTACTCTTTTTTCTTAGCAGAGACCTTGACATTCAGCTCCAATAATGATGTACCATATGCTCCAAATCCAAGCAAATGCCTGATTGCAATAGTAAACAGATTATGTAATCTGAAATAAAAAGGCATTCTTGCCTCTATTTATATGCAAAATTAAAGTGCACACTTGGCTTCAAGTAAATGAATATAAAGTCTTTTGTAACACCACTCTACAGATCTAACCTGCCAAACAGGACACCAAGTATTTGTATCCCAACAAAACCCACAGCATTTTATAAGCTTTGCCTTCTTCATTTGTACTTTCTTTTTTTTTATTTTTGCTTCAGACCAAGCAGGTAGAAAACTGACAGCCTACAGCCTACCGACAGCAGATTTCTATAACTAAATTCTTAGGTATGTGCTAATAACTAAGTCACTACTGCCTACAGTTAAACTTTAAATAGATTTTAGCCATATTTCAAGCTAAAAGTCACCAAGAGCATCAGAGTACTTCTTCCTTCTCCACGGTAGCAGAAACCACACAGAAAAAGGAAAGTTCAACACTTGTTTTCCACACTCCCATTGACTCATATTAAAACAGGATTCTAAATAGCAGAATACTAAATCTAGCATAGATTCTCTGCAAAGTCTGTGTTTTTTTTAAACACAAAAAAGTAAAACAAAAAGAACCTATACCATCTTCTTACCTACATCCGCCACTCAATTTTCAAGGCTTTGTTGGGGGTAATGATGTCTGAACAAACTCTACAAATATGTTTTATGGACCTCAACCCCACTCCAGACCAAAGAGATCCAAGACACCAAGGACTACAAATCCCATAATGTCATCACCACTTAAGGGACGATTGCTGGGAACTGAGGGTGCAGTTATTTAAGCAGTCAAGTATAAATCTGACAGGTAGGCCTTGGGATCCCCTGGGGTTTTTGTTGGTTCCAGCTCACCAGAACTGGTAGAATGCATTCACCAATTTATCTCCCTCTCTTTTTCCCTGAGTTTGCTGCTTCTAGCAAATATACAGGAACATCATAGGAGGCTCAGATCATCAAATCCAGCACCAATTCCCTTATTTGTTTCCACTTGTCAGGGGTAGGGGATAATTTATCTAAAATTATTGTATTATTTATTTGAAATTATTTTAAGGAATTTCTCCAAACTTATTTGCAACAAAAATCAACATTCTGAATTAAGTCACATACTGAATGAACTATGGGAAAAATCATATTTGTAGAAAATCCATGTGTTGGTGTAAAGGGCTTGAACTCATTTTGGGGTAGGGCGGGGAATACCATAAGAGGCAAACTTGTGCAGTAGTTGTGGATAGGTACAGATATTTTCTTCATCTTTTTATGTGGCTCCTGGAGAAGGCACTATTTTAATCAAATAAGGATAGAATCAGAGGCCAATGAAAAGTAGCAACAACAACCCCCCCCCCAAAGTAGGATTAGCTTAAAGACTGACAGTATAATTATTGTTATGGTAAATATGCTTTATATCACTACCTTTAGATTGTTGTTTTGTGGGGGTGAGGGCTACAGTTGGAAATGGGAATCCCATTATGTTTTTGGAAAAATATTAATACCTAGATTCCGAGTATATGACTGGCCTCAGCCTGTATTTCTGAAGTCTTTTCTGCCAGTAAGGTATGGAAGGCTCCACTTCTCATTTTTTTTCTAGCCTTGCCTAGTCTCTGACACAGCTTAGCTATTCCCTTTTTCGGTGTCTGAAAAATGGGTTCAGCAGACCTAAGGTTTAAGAAATCTCTCCCAAAGTCCTTGCAGGCTCTGTTCAATCATTAATTATAAATTTCCCTCTCTCTCTTTTTATACACACATCCTGACCCCACATCTGGACCTCTATGTGAAAGGGGTGCAAATCAAGGAGAGGGTTTGTTAAGTCTCAGAACATTACAGTATAGCCGGGCCACTCAGAACCATACTTAAGGAGGTACACACTGAAGGGTTCAGATAAAAACTAAGCAACTTAAAAAGCTTGCTGATTCAGAACCTCTGGAAACAGGGCAACAAGTAGTTTACTCCTAAACTTAATGCTATCATTGTTAGGAGATCACGGGTCCCCAACTTGGCAAACTTCAGTATGGCCTCCTGCCTTTGGCACAGAAGTGAAGGGGAGAGGGGACACTACTGGCAAACAAAGGGTCTCCAGTAGGAAGGTACACGTGTCCTGCAATGGCCAACTCTGGCCAGGGTAGGTCACTGCAACTAAACAACGTCAGAAAATCCCTCCCTCGGTGTTGCAAACTCTGGAATGAAAGATAAACCTACAGAGTTCTTGGTTCCTCCCAAAGTTATCAAATCATATCCTGGCCCCTAGAGGAGGCGCTGGGCAACAAGTCCTCCGGACAGTGAATGGGCAGCTCATGCTTTTAAATTTTGCATTTTGTGCCCAACAGCTAGAAAATCCGGAGCGCAGCATGTAGAAACTACAGATAACAAGCTGAACCTTCGACCGACAAGACTGACTTTAGACACCCACTTTCACCAGGGCGCAAACTGCGGAACCGAGGGAGGAAGGAAGGGAGTGGAGGCTACGACGCCGGGCACGCATCCCGGGAAGTGACCGCCAAAGCCGCCCCGCCACGGTTCTTACGGGTCTCGGCCTGACCTCGCTACTTGCAGTTACCCAACCCTAGTTGGAGACCACAAATCCACCTCCGCACCCGCCTCCAGTTCCTGGGTCCTGGGGGAACCGAATTTCATCCCTCAATCCCCTCCCCGTCTCGGGTTCAGCACAGTCACTCCTGGGCCCGGAGGCGAGCCGGATCTAGTGTCCAGTGCACGGCGGGCCGGAGAGTCACCTGCCCCTCGCAGCACACGGCCAATTCTGGGCAGAGGCCGCCGGGCGAGAAGCACGTGCGAGAACCGGTGCGGGGAGGGACTGAGCTGTACCGAGGCGGAGAGGGAGAAAGAATAGCGTAGGCACCTCCGAGTCCCGCGCAACCCGAGGCCACGGCAGGGCGACGAAGTGGTCACTTACGAGTCTCCCAGATAGTCGTGGAAACGAATGCGGCCCATGGTGGTACTGGCTTCGAAGTTGGGCGCCTCGTCCCCGAGAAGGAGCCCTCCGGGCATGGCGGCAGCAGTGGTGGGAGGAGGGAAGAAAGGAGCGGCGCAGCCGGCAACCCGCAGGTTCCAAAAAGTAGGTGTACGGCGCGGTCAGCCTCGCTATAAGTGGGGCGTGGGCGGGGACAGGGCGGGGTGAGCGGAGACCAAGGCGGGTCTTGTGGGCGGAGCCTACCCAGGAGTGGGCGGGACGAGGGGCGGGGCCAGACCAGGCCAGCCCGGAGATCAGTTTGGCGTCCAGCAAGGCTTTCGACCTTCCCAGAGCCAATGGATTCCTGCGCGCAGATCCCCTGACCTGGGGTCCATGACGTCACCACCTGCAGGTTTGGGCGTGCGCAGGGTTGGACCCTGCAAGTCGTTTGGGTTTTGGAGGTAAAAGCAAGCTGAACGTAGCAAAAGGGGTGTACCAATACCGAGAATCGCGGAGGCGGACAGGCTCTGGCGGCTGTCACACAGCCCCCATCTCACCAGGGGGGTGGGGGTAGGGCTCGAGGATCCGCGCAGAACCTCCTGCACATTTACTTATGTTCGGGGCGACCCCACATCTACCCCTTCTCGCAAGTGTGAATGTCTGGAATCCTGGCCGCCCCAGACAGCTCTGTAGAGGATGGAGCAAGACCTAGAGAAATGGAGAACCTTATGTCAGAGGAAGTGGCTTCAATATTGCAGCAAAAATTCCCGCACCTATGTCAGTCACTACTTGGGGGAATGTAGCTTTATTTTATTACGCTTCATTCCCCCCCCCCCAAGTTCATTATAAACCATAAAAATATTCAATCCAATTGCTCTAAGACCTAGTATAAATTTTTAAACCTACCAATTGAGATCTACTGTGCCCAAGTCGAATCTGCTACCACCGGAGGAGGAGGGATAATTAGATTCATTTATTTCCTTGTATATGCCAAGCGTGAGGCAGATGATTGTTCTTTTGGACCTTTCATTTTAATGGGGAGAGGGACTTAAAAGAGCATTTTACTTAAATTAGAATGTATTAGATATCAGTAAGTCTTACTCAGAAAAAAAATAATGTGCTAGAAATGTGGCTGGACTTGGATGGTCTGGTTGGGGAAAGCCTCCAGGGTAATGTAGGTAAATACAGCACATTGTGCTCTAGAAGTGGAACTATTATTGGAAGATGATAATGATGTATACGATATCCATATGCTGGCATTGGCCAGGTCTGGTGATACAATAGAGAGATATGGTTGATCTTACAAAGAAGGCAGATGTCCATGAAGGGGAAATGCTGATGGGGTGAGGATGCCAAGTGGTTGGAATTCAGCAGTGAGAAAAGTCTTCTGCATGGGAATCCTCAAGCATAAATAAGTCACACTGCAGTGTTAGCGGAAGTGACTCCCACACGTTGTGATTTCAGTTTTCATCATAGTTATATTTGTACAACATGCTAATCATATTTACTCAGCTCTCCTCTGAGCAAGGACTTGGAAGAAAGATTACTGGTGGTAATTCTAGCCACTCTAGAAGGCTATGTGGGACTACTTAATCTTGAAAGTATTTTGACTCTAAACTGTGGTTTTAGAAGTGCTATGATTAACTTCTTGTGTAGGGGAGAAAGAAAAGAGGAGTGTGACTTTAAGACACTATTAATGATGTTGTGGAGCTAATTTAGAAAACACATATATACCATAAATATGGAGAAGGAATACAGAAACAGACTGTCACTATAAAAGGCATAATTATATAGACATAACATATAGAGATGTAACTATCTCCATTTTTATACACGTATAAGTTCACAATCTTCTATTGTAAATTAAGCAAATATAATTAGACGAATGACTTGGAATTTACAATACTGGAGGCTGCACACTGGCAGTCTACCGACACCTTGAAAACTTGCTTGCTTTAGCCTTTACAGCATTTAAAATTCTACTGAATTAGCTGTCCACATTTAAAAAACATGATTTCCACTATGTCAAAAGAGCTAGCCACACGGGGTCCATGTCCCACTTGGCAGACAGTGGCTGCAGTATAGTGACCTTCTGCGTGAATGTGTCCCCTATTTGTTCAGAAGATCCCCATTATTTACTGCCATTTTTTCTATTGCCATTATCGCCCCACTCTTGTGCTGGGTTTTTTTTTTGGGGGGGGGCTAGAATTAGGAGGAAAATAAATCCTATTCTAATATATTCCTATGGTTGTCAAAATTGATACAGATGGTTGACAACTTGATAGGGGCTAGGGAGGGGGAGGAGATCAGATGAGACACTAAGCTCTGGTATAGCAGGAAGTTTGCACACACATGTTGGCTATGGCCTGTCTGCTCTCAGTTAATCTTCTAGCCCAAGGACTCTTCTGGAGTAGTGTTGGGAGCTAGTGCTATTGGAAGACCAGCCTCAGCACACTGGGACCTAAGCCTGAGGCCAGGTGGCCAGGAGGGCAATAGGAGTTCCAGGGGCTGGACATCCCAATCTCCTGCAGCAGTGAAGGCTTGCTTATGGAGGAACTCTTTTTTTTTTTTTAAAGATTTATTTCTTATGCATGTAGAACTGCGGTACAGGCTAGAGGTGCAGGGGTGGTGAGAGGATTCACCAGAGACAGAGTGGGGAGCAGAACAAGCGGACTGCCGAAGTACACTGCTGAGGGGAACAGCGGGCGGGTCAGGAGAGGTCTGCCGTGCCATGGGGATCACCTCTGGGGTGGGGATCAAACTCTTACTGAAGTGGCTTTAGCTTCTTAGTGCTGTGCTTTAACCCCCTGTGCCACCAGCGAGGGCCCACTGAGGAACTCTTGTTCAACTTATATAAAGAGGCAGGGCAAATGAAATGTTAAGGCGGTTTCTTTAGGGTTTTAACCCCCACCTTCCAGATTGTTGGCTATCTGATTAAAGCACACTTTAAAGATTCTGTCCCTCTCTCTACTTTACTGGCTTTTGGTGGTGACAGGTGGCCCTGTTAAGGGGAAGGATGTCTTATAGGAACTCAGCAGTTTTGTGGACTCCACCCCTACTCCAGCTTTCTGGATTCCACCCCTACTCCAGTGATTGGAAACTACAACTCCCAGCAGTACCAAGGAGAGAACTGCGAGGACCCAAGAGCAGAGCTAAGCAGGCATTCTGGGACTTTGGGGGTTAAATAGAGTATGGTTTTATAACGGTCACTCTGCAGAGGTAACAGCACTTTCTCTTTCTCTCGGACTGTGTGACTGGGGGCTAGCAGTTAGTTTTGTTACTAGAGCTCCAAGTTAGCCGAGCTGGTAAGATATTCTGGTTACCTGATCTCTCTCTCTCTCTCTCTCTCTTCCCCTGGGTTGTTCCTTTTCCTTTCCCCTCTTTTGTAAATAAACCCATTACCCTTTTTGTGTGTTCCTGAAGAACAATTAAATTTTAAGTGGGCAGGTGAGGACGCACAGACAGGCAACCCAGTTTCGCTCTGGGCTACCCTGTAACAGCTTGAGCCATGGTCTTTCAGTTACAAACTCTGACAATGAGAAGTTCACTAAACACCATGTTTCAAGGAGGAACATAGCTCATATTTCTTTGGGAAAGTAAAGAACTTTCCCACATATCTACTATGCAAACAAAGTTGGAAGAATACCATCTGTCCTGTCTACCCCTGTATGAGGCTGAGTTTTAGCCTCTGTCCTAAACTGAAGTAGATACTCCTTGTACTGAGCCCCTTTCCAGAGGGAAAAGTTTGGGATATTTTCCCAAAGGTGAACAAGTATTCCCTTGGGAAAAAGGGAAAGGAGTTGGTCAAGGGAGACATTCCAAAGAGAGACAGAATGTAGAGGCGGGAGAGTTAGGTTAAAGAGTGGATTTTTCAGAGAGTGGAGATCTGATATCCAGAAAAATATTCTCAGGCTGCTGGTTAACCTTGAAGTCCTTCCTGAGTGACAGGAAATAAGGAATTACAGGGTTTTCATAGGGCTGAGTCTTGACCAGTTGAGTCTCTGCACTCCTGCTTGGACAGATTGGGAAAAAATGATGAAAAATTGACAATAGCCCTTTGGAAGAACAACAGCATGTTGTTCTCTTTCTCCCCACTAAAGTTTTGATCATATCTTACCTATTAATATCTATGTCTTGTTGTGTTCACATAGATGGTGAAAGTTTGCACAAAGTGTTGAAGAGCATTTGGCTCCCTTTCTGCTGCCACAGCTTCGAAGTTTCTTGGATGGCAAGGGCTGGGAATAACAGGACAATGTGACCCTGGTTGTAACTGGAGAGACAGGGAAAAAGTCCTGCCTGTGGGAGGAGTGGGATTATGCATTTGAAAACAATTCGTATGAGCTTTCTTGTAACATTTGATGGTCTTTTAAGAAAAAAAAAAATAGCAAGAGGGCTGAGCACAGTGTACTGAGCAGGGCAGTGCTAAGAACCGGCTGTGTGAGGGGGACTGGTGAGAGGGGACTCTTCTTTATCAGGGGACATGCTGCTCTCCTCTCCCTAATGCACATGCCACAGGACATCGGGATCTGGAGAGACATCAAAGTAGGAAATGTGGAGCAGGAATGAAAGGACAACAGTTTTCAACATGTAGAGGGATGGGCAGTTTCCAGAAGGACATTCTGCTAGTAAATTCTGACACTTTCTTTCCCATATAAAGCACTGAAAATGTCCTGACTATCCTGAAAGATCCTGTTTACTAAATTTTACAATAGTGTCTTTTTGAGGAACATATGTTCATCACGGTAAAGGATTAGATTTGAAAGCATCATTTAATAGTTGGGTAACCAAAGGCAAAATGCCAACTTGGAATTGTCTGGAAGATGGTGAATTAAGTTAGCCAACTCTCTCATCTGCTTTGGGTTAAGCAGAAGAAGCTGCATGTCTTCAAAAAAGAATTCATTATTTTTACAGGGAGGACAGTGGAGTTTTGTATCTCTGTATATACAGGGGCTGTCAGACAGAACAGAGAGAAGCCAGTGGCAGAGAAGTTGTAAGAGTTGGGAAAGGGACAAAGAAAGAAAAAAAAAATGGGAGAAAGGTTAATTGTTTTGCAGAGGTTCCCTCCTGAGGACATTGAATGTGGGGCTCCTCTGGTGATGGCATCAGATTGGCTTATGAGACGCTGGCACAGATGCTTTATTACTGGAGCCTGTGTAGGGGTGTGGAATGCCGGACCTCAGATTCAGGCAGCTGTTCACAGTAGGGTGTTGGGGGGGATCTCTAAGAGGGTCCTAAGCAGAAACTGAGACAGGCAAGGGAAAAGTGAATGGCAGAAACTCTAGAAGCAGAGCAGCAGCTGACTAGTGTTGAAGAGTTCAAGGTAACCCACTTAGTGATGAAAGCTACACAGGGTACTGATAGCCTGCCAGCTTCCAAACTAAGCTCTTTGAGCCCTGGAGCCGGGGTGAGCTAGAAGTGGGTGGTGGGAGAAGTCAGTGAAGCTGCAGCCAGTCACGTTATTAATGGTCTGAGATTTTAAAATGATAATGATAATCGTCCCTAAGATCTGGCCATTTATTGATTTATTCATCCATCCATCCGTCCATGCATCCATCCACATACTTTTTATAGAAGTACCGTTGTACTGTACTTCTATAGGTTTCAGCTGTGCATCATTAAAAATCAGCATCTGTATATACTACATTAAGTTCACAACTAAATGTCCAGCTCAGTCCTTCACCATACCATTGACCCCTTTTTATTTGATTTTTATCCCTATTCCCATTCCTTTTTGGTAACCACTAGCTGGTCTTGTAGTTTAAAAGTTGATTTTTGTTTTATCTAGCTCACTCTCTTTTTGTTTGGCTTTTTTATATAAGTATGAATAAATTATATGGTGTTTGTCTTCCTGTATGACTTATTTAAGTAAGCATAATACTCTAGGTACCCACATTGTTGCAAGTGGCAGGATTTCATTTTTTTTCTTATAACTGAGTAGTATGCCATTGTGTGTATGTGTGTGTCATATATATATATATATATATATGACATATCATACACACACAAACAGACATACACATATCATCTCTATTAGTCTATTAACGAGCACACCTAAGTTGTTTCCAGCTCTTGACTATTGTAAATAAAGCTACAGTGAACATGGGAGTGTATGTATATCTTCATATTGGTGTTTTTTTGTACCTTGGGGGTAAATACCCAGAAATGGGATAACTAGATCATATGGAATTTTTATTTTAGTTTTCTGAGGAAGCTCCATACTGCTTTCCATAATGGCTGCACCAATTTACAATCCCAGCAGGTAATACAAGAGTTCCCATTTCACCACATTCTCTTCTACAACTGTTTATTGTCTTTTGAATAATAGCTATTTTTACATAGCTGTCTCACTGTTGTTTTGTTTTGAATTTCCCTAATAATAAAACATGAGGAAGATCTTTCATGTCTCTGTTGGCCATCTGTATGTCCTCTTTGGAGAAGTGTCTCCTCCCAGGAAAATCTTGATATTGTTCTGAATTATAAACAACTGCTGAAGCACTGTTGATATTTTTTTTTTTAAAGATTTTATTTATTTGTACATACAGGGCTGGGGTACAGGCCAGAGGCTCAGGGGTGGCGAGAGTCTTCACCAGAGACAGAGTGGGGAGCAGAACAGGCAGATCAACAAAGTACACTGCTGAGGGGAGCAGCGGGTGGGTCAGGAGAGGTCTGCCATGCCATGTGGTCTCCTCTGGGGCAGGTGGGGATGGAACTTATGCGGAAGTGGCTTTAGCTTCTCAGTGCTGTGCCTTAACCCGCTGCGCCACCAGGGAGAGCCTGCACTGTTGATTTTTAATAATGTTTGTGTAAATTCCAGATCAGTACATGTTAATGAATTTAACCTTTAGTTAAAAAAAAAAGTAATTTTTTTCATAGCTATTAATTTGGAGAATTCTCCTTTAGTCAGCTCTCTATATATGCAGACTTCATTAATTTCAAAAGTCAAAGGTACAAACTTCCAGTTATAAAATAAATAAGTCTAGGGGAGATAATACATAGGATAATTTCTTTAGTTAATAATACTAAATTGTATACTTGAAAGCTGCTAAGAATGTAGATCTGAAAAGTTCTTAAAGCCAGAAAAGAATTACTATGTATGAAGATGAATATAAACTAGACTTATTTCACAATACATACAATATAGAATTATTGTGTTTAATACCTGAACCTAATATAACCAATTATCCCTCAGTAAAACGTAAATTGGTTGTGATTCAATTTGTCTTCCAGCACAGTTTTTGTCTTCAACTTCTGAAATAATAATAATAAAAAGTATAATTGAAGAAACTAATAATACCTCAATGATCATAAAGTTTAAGTAGTAAAATTAAGTTATTTCATTCTGAGTGACTACTTGAAATTTTTGTGTTTGAAATTTAAAACACAAGTATAGTGAAAAATACAAAACATTGCTAGAGAAAAGGCAAAGTCATGAATTAATGGAAAGACATCCTGTGTTCATGGACTGGATGAATTGATGTTATTAAAGTGTCAGTACTACTCAAATAGAGCAATAGATCAATGCAATCTCCATCAAAGTTACTTTGATATTTTTTGCCAAATAGAAAAAGAAAAAGTTATCCACCAAGATTCATGTAGAATATCAAACGATCCTGAATTGCCTAAATACTTTTTTAAAAGAATAACAAAATTGGAGAGCTTGTATTTTCTGATTTGCAAATATATTACAAAGCTACAGTAATCAAAATTAATTGGTACTAGCATAAAAGCATATGTAGACCAATGGACTAGCATGATCTGAATGATCACTCCATTTTCTGTAAACAATTTGAATCCTATTGCTCTTCTACTAACCAGTCAGTCAGTTTTGTTATATATTTTCTCATGGCTAAAGTTTTCAAATGAAGAAAATGAAATACCAAATAAAAGTTCCACCATCAAAAGATACTGAAGCTCAAAATCTAGAAATCTCAACTGGCTGCCCTTTTTTGATACTGTATCTCAAAATCTGGGTTTATACTTTGCTCCAACCACTGACCTTCGTTTTCTGTAGGGATATCTCTTGCTAATTACCTAATTACTTATACTATAAAAAGGCCTAACTTCAATGGAAGCCCACTGCAACACTGCCTTCTGAAATGAGACATGACTGTTTAATAGAACTGGTTTATTCCCCAGAGGAAGAGACTCATTCAGTAATAGGTACCATGTTCTTAGATTTGTCCTTTTCTGCTTGTTAGGTGTATGCTTTTCTCTCCCATGCTGCTTGCTTATCTCATAGCTTCTAACCCAAATCTCTTCACAGCTATCAACTCAGGCTTTAATGTGTGAAAATTTCTGAAAAGTTGCAAATCAAGAACTGAAAGAAACCAGAATGTCACCCCAAATATTCCTCTTTGACATAAGTATAATTTTCAGGTGAAGGCAATTAAAAAGTACCAAATCAAAAAATACACAAATAAAAACCTTTTTCCTTCCTAAAGGGCAAGATAAAAATTCTTTTCCTGGAAATATTAGACTCTTATAAATCAGAGATGGTGCCACGGAAATCTGCCAACAAACCTGACTACATTGATTTCCTCTCAAAGAATGCATTTTCTAACTTTGCTACTTTATTTGCCTTTACCTCCAAATAATTTTTAACCTTTGTCTTCCCTCTGTTTGCTGCCCTTGAAAACCTAAAATCATTTTCCTTGGTCCTGTCATTTCTCTGTTGTTCTTTGTTGAAATGGTATTTATATTACAGTTTTAAGCTGCTGCTTTGGGCTACTTTTTTTTTTAAGGTTCATATCTAAACCATGTTAAGTGATTGGTTTTCATATGTTAATCTATATTTTTGCTGAAAAGCAAAGATAAAGTTTTGACTCCCTTTACAATCCTAAGGAATGAAAAGCAGAATCTCAGATATTTAGAAACCCATGCATTATTACTTACAATAGCCAGGGGTGGGAGCAAGCCAAAGGTCTGCTGGTGAGTGAATAAACAAGACGTGTTATAAACTTACAATCAGATATCCTTCAGCCTTAACAAAGGCGGGAAATATGCTACTATAACATGGATGAACGTTGTGTATATTATGTTTAGTGAAATAAACCAGTAACAGGAAGATAAAGACTGTATGATCCCAGTTAATTTCAGAGAAATAGAAATAGAATGGCGGTTGCCAGGGATTGAAAGGAGGGAGAAGGGGAGTTGTTTAATGAATATTGGTTTTCAGGTTTGCAAGATAAAAAAGTTAGGGAGATTTATTTCATAGCATTGTGAATATATTTAATATTACTGAGCTATACACTTAAAAATATGGTTAATATGGTAGATTTTCCATGGTTAAAAATTAAAGCAGTTAAATATAAATGAAACAGTGAAGCAGAGTGCACACTTTAAGTTGTATTATTTTTGTCTGGTAAATGCAAATTTTAATTCACACACAAATATTTCACTAAAATTGAATATCTTTAACATTGAAATGTATTTTTTCTTAAAGTTATTAATTATGGCTTCATAACTAAAATAAAAAAATTTAACTTTACTAACCAAAGTAAAAATGTGAAATTGTTAGGAAAATAGAATATTAAATAGATTGTTAGGTAGATAGAACTTTTTCCTTTGTTATGCTGTAAGATTTTTTATTTTTATTTAAACATGTAAAAGAGCTGGCTTCTCATTCCTCTGATTTCTATGAGTTGGAACTTCTCAGGGCACATTTCTTGATAGTTTTATCTATCTAGAATTTCTCTGTAGGTGGTATTACTATGAGCTTAGATAACAACTAGATGCTGATGATATTTTTATCTTCAGCCACCCTCAAGACTTATCTCACAATCTGTCCATTTGATCCTTGACCAGCGTGTCATAGATATGTCTAAAAATTAATTCTATTTCTCTACTCCCCCCACCGAAATAAACTCATTCAAAATAAGATTAAGTATCCCTAGCTTCCCCTTTCCTATAAAAAAAGGTCATTCTATGGATTCCCACTATCCATAGAAGTCTTAACATCCACTGCAAGTGATTTTTCCTCCCAAGTCTATGTAACTTGTCATGGTTTACCTATCTCCATATTTGCTCCTACTTTCTGTATTCAGATGTTTCAGTTACTAATTTACTTCCCTCTGGCTCCAACTGACCTTTCTCTGTCTTGTTTTATGATCTCAGAGTTGTACTGTGCAAACAAAGCTCTGTTTTCCCGTCTACCATAGAAGTTGATAATTAGGTTCAGGCAACGGCGAGTGGAGAGGGCTGCTGAAGGTACCTCTGGGCTAGAGAGGGCAGAGGGCCTTATCTTAGTGCTTTTTCCCTTTTTTTTTCTCCACACAACAGTAACTGGACCAGCACACAGTGGCCCCAGCAGCATTCTTGGACAGTGGATGGTCATCATGGCTTCAGGGAGCGAGTGTCTTCTTCATCCCAGTGGTGGGTGACATGCTTCTCCAGCGGCTGAGCCATCCCCTTCCAGACCTGAATCTCAGCCTGGTGTTGTCCTTCTTTACTTTCCAAAATTAATCTTGTTTACCTTTTCCTCAGTTCTAAATGTGAGAATCATAGTCTGTTGTTGATCCCCACCTTTCTTCCATAATTAAATAGCAATTGACTTGCTGTGCATAGAGACAGATACATGACAACAGATTCTAACAAAAGAAAGGGCTTATTGCAGATTGGCCAAGAGGCAGGAAGTAAATTCAAATCTGCCTTTCTGTCTAGGAAAGGGAAGAGGTTTATGATTGATTTGGAGGAGTAGGGTTGAGAACAGAGGAGTTAAATATTATTATCAAGAAGTAGGTTGGAGTTAAGGAAATATGGACTTGGCTGAAGTTCCTTGGCTAGTCACGGGGAAATTCATACATGGAGAAGTATGAAGAGGTTTTTTTTCCCACAGATAAATAAGTTTTGCGTTTCTTTTTTAAAGATTTATTTATTTATGCATACAGAACTGGGGTACAGGCCAGAGGTGCAGGGGCGGTGAGAGGATTTACCAGAGACAGAGTGGGGAGCAGAACAGGCAGATTGATGGGGTACACTGCTGAGGGGAGCAGTGGGCGGGTCAGGAGAGGTCTGTTGCACCATGTGGTTTACCTCTGGGGCAGGCAGGGATCGAACTCATGCTGAAGTGGTTTTAGCTTCTTAGTGCTGTGCTCTAACCTGCTGCGCCACCAGGGAGGGCCCCTAGTTTTGAGTTTCTGTTGGTGGACTTTTACTTCTGAATTGCCCATCTTGTCTGCACCTGGCTCCAGATGACCTTGGAGCTCAGCTCAACGTTAGTTGTTTCTGTTTGTTGAGGCTTGTCATTGGTGTCTGTGAGCACAAGCCTCCGAGAAAAAGTTATATAAGTATTTTTTTTTCTTTTGTTCTCTAGGATCTGAGAGATTTAACCATTAAATTAACCCTGTTTCAAGACCATACAGTTCTTTTATCCTTTTCGGTAGAAAACTATTGCATTACCCATTAACAGTTTTTTATATCATGCTTTGAATTACTGTGTGGCATCTGTCTCTTGACTGGACCCTGACTGAAATGGAAAAGATACCAGAAGTAATTCTAGGAGAAAAGCTCTCAAAGACTGGTTTTGAGGGTTGATTTTGTTTGCACTCCTGGAAATGCTAGTAATGCATGATGTGCAAAAAGACGTCACAATCAAATTAGCACATGTGGTTGATTATAATGAAATTGCAAATGAAATATGTACTTTGGAGCTCTTAAGTGACTGCTGCACTTCACCTTTATGAATGGTAGTCACTGCAAGGACTGTGGTATGGGGTGCTTATTTCTCTGCATAGTGGAGTGCTTACAGAAGTAAGATTAAAATCTCAGACCCTTAAGCTTTTCCATTTGTCTGAGAAGCAGAGAATATTCATGCCATCCCTAAAACAAACCTTTTCTTTTTTGTAACCACAGGGTTGATACTACTGAAAATGCAAATATAAAATTAAATTGTGCAGGTAGAAGAATCATGAGTTTAATTTGTCTTTGCCAATTTTTCCACATGAAAGTTTGGTCATCAATTAGAAAGAAATGAGGTTGCAGAGCTTGAAATGGGAGTTCTGATTAGGCTTGAATGAAACTGATAATCTGGAGTCACTATGAGACTCCCTAGAGGCCCTCTACATCTGAGGAGTCTTTCCCTACCTCAGAACCCTGTATTTACCTCATGTGCAGCAGATATCTCATGAAAGGAGAGGTTGCCCATCCTCCCTAAAACCTGTCCCAAATAACCCTTTTTGCCATTAGATTCTTAACTAGGGTTAAAGTTCAGTCTGTTCTGGTTGCACAGATGAGGCAGCAGGGCTCCAGGTGTAACTGGCCTTGAGTTCAGTTCCCCAGATTTGTTTCTTCTCCCAGGGAGTCACTGCCTGCTCTGTAGAGAGAACATGAACCAATATAATGTCAGTCAACACTAAGGTTCCAGATTCTCAACCAGTGTCTTTCGGTTCTTTGGTTTGAGCAACTCAATTTGAGAGGTAATTTTCATGCTCTTTAGTTGAAGAAATCTCTTTAAAGAAGCACATCTATGGAGACTGTTGTTCAATTCTGGACCTGTCAGCACTGACTCTGTGTAGCTTTCTGACTTGGGTGATACTTGGGTAGTTTATAAATTGAGCTTTTAGTAGAGACTGTTTCTCTGAGATTTATTCTTCTGGGCTTTCTGAACACTCAGTCACCTTCAGCAAATGGCTGGGTCTTAGTTATTGAAAGAGAGGATCTCTGTTCTAAAGAGAAAGAATGTGGGCTTGTCAGAGTCCTTAGATACTAGGCTCAAATGTCTCTAAAGTCTCCTTTTCAGAGAGCTAGAAAATTGAGCCTACTTAAACAGTGGTTACATGTACAATCCAGTCAGCAACATGGTTTCCCAAGCGTCTACATTGGTGGACAGATTTATTTTGCAATTAATAAATTTACCCTTGGTGAATTTTTTTTAAAAAGCATTTATGTATACATACAGGAACTGGGGTATAGCTCAGAGGTGTGTGCCGCACACCGGCACAGTGAGGAGCTCTGGACCTCAGGGTGATGAGGGTGATGAGTGTCTCGAAGGGAGGTGGATAAGGATTTGGCTGAATGAATGACAGACAGACACGACTTCAAGGGTGCATATCTGACTGTCATTTGGAGAAGTAAGCTTTCACATTTATACAGTATTTTTTGGCAAGAATAATGACTACATCAGCGTTTAGTTACATATTTAGCAGAACAGCACAAGGTGATGTGTTACATTTTCTTAGAAGCAGATGGGAAAGGGGGTGACAATCTGCTGGAAACATCAAATAGCGGTTACTGGGTGAATGGGGTCATTTATCCGTTTGGTACATTTTGTCTAGTTAATCTTTTAATTCCATTCCCTATTGTTGCCTTGCTCAGAGAGTCTTTTATGTCTTTCTGCTACATAGTCTCTATATCGTTGCCATTCAGTAACTTTATGATTAAGCAAATATAGTAGAGACTTACGGTATTGTTTTAAAATATACTCTTATTGTGCTTTGTTTAATGTGTACCAAGGAGGAGGTGAACTTTTTAATCTTCCCAAAAGCTAAGACTCAGCCACCTCTTTTTCCTTTCACATTAACTATTCTTTGTCACTTACTTCATTACTGGCAGTGGTAAGCTTATAATTATTACAGAAACATTAACAGGTTGAAAGCATTATTAAGAACAGAATCCAGCAAGAAAGAAGTCAGGCTCCAAAATATCATAAAATGCCACGATGTCCCTCTGCGTGCCCCGTTCCCTGTACTATGAGCCAACGTCCGCATATTGCTCATGCAGACTCCGCAGGAGGTACGGTGACAGGTGTGGGGTAGGTGAAAGGGGATTGAACTTGTGCTGCAGTGGCTGCAGATAGCTTCATAATGCTGTGCTTTAACACTCTTGGGCCACAAGGGAGGCCCTTCTTTGTGAAATTTTGACTGCTGGATTGGAAGCCAGAATTTAATCTACCTCTGGTACATTTTTTTGTACCTATTTCAGTGTGCAGTCAGTTTTCATCAGCAAGTATTCGGACTTCATTTCTATCTCATGTTAGTTTGAGAGTGCAATTTCAGTGAAAACCAACTATGGGTTCAGACTTATTGGACTCCTTTTAACTTTGCTTTATTCCATAACCTCATCCTGAGATCACCCCTGGTTATCCTAGGCAGGATCTGTGCCTGATTCGTGTCTAGTAGAGGATAAACCATTGGAAGTATGCACTTCTATGAGGAAGGCCTCTCATTGCAAAGGTGGTTCACCCTTAGTTGTGCTTCACTTTCTGTAGTTTTAGTTATTCAAAGTCAACTGTGGTCTAAAAATGAAATGTTACATACAGTAAGATTGAGAGAGAGGGGCCTTCCCTGGTGGCGCAGCCGGTTAAAGCACAGCACTAAGAAGCTAAAGCCACTTCAGCATGAGTTCTATCCCCACCCTGGAGGCGACCCACATGGTGCAGCAGACCTCTCCTGACCCACCAGCTGCTCCCCTCACCTGTTCTGCTCCCCTCTCTGTCTCTGGTGAATCCTCTCACTGCCCCTGCACCTCTGGCCTGTACTCTAGTTCTGTATGCATAAATAAATAAATAAATCTTAAAAAAAAAGATTGAGAGAGAGAAGGACAAAGAGAATTATATAATTTTTTTTTCTGTTAATGCTTTTTTATTTCTTCATATATTCCTACTGTGTGGCTTATATTTACTGTTATCTGGAAGGACCCTTGAGGATTGGGGATTCTGGCTGTGTTTTCTTTTGCTTGCATAGCATGTATCTATTTTTACTTGTCCAATAAGCCTGTTATGATTACTTAATAAATATTTACTGAGAGTTGTGAATAAAACTAAGAAGCTAGGCTGAGTATTTCAGTGGTCAGGTGAAAAAATTGTATGAGAACAAACTCTTCCTCCTCTATCCAAACAGGGGTTTGTTTTTGTACTTCAGCCTTGGGCTCTAAATTAGAGTGAGAAACTGTGTGTCAAAGGAGGAAACAACCATTGAAAAGAAACAAGGTCACACCTAGCTTCACATACCTCAGGCTGTTACATAACAGGTGTTTAATAAGGACTTAATAGTGAAGTTATATTTGTTCATGTTCACTTTGCAGAGCAAGTAATGACTGTTTGAGAGAAGGATAAAATCTGAGAACTTGGGCTCAGTGCCAGTTACTCCCAGAGCTCTGCTTCCATGCCCAGGCCATGGTGGTAGATTGAACTTTCACCTGAATCAGGGATCTGGTGGCAAGAAGGGGTGTTTGAGATAAGTTTTAAGGAAATGGGCATTTCTTTTTATGAAGCACCAGCTCTTGATTATGGGGTTTTGAAGTTAAAAACTGCTCTTTAAGAACAGAAGAACAAGCAACTCCCCTGTACTCCCTTCCAATTTTATTAATTTAGATTTTACATTTAGGTCTGTTATCCACTTAAGTTGGCTTTCTAGAAAGGTATATAAGGCATATTT